CGCTCGTTCGTTCGTTCCTTCATTCGTTCGTTTGCTTGCACGTCGGTTCATTCCTGCGTTCGTTCGTTCGTTCGTTTGTTCGCTCTTCGTTTGGCGAATCAATCGTCCGGTCGTTTGTTCGCAGAATTGCTCTTCCGCGCTGTCTTCTGTTTTTCGTCGTTGACATTTTTTTTTTTTTTTGACGTTTGGTCTATTCTCTCTTTTGTGGCTGGTTTTATTATTTTTTTTTTTTGCTCGTATGCACATCGCTCACTTGTTCAACCAGTCTTCTCTAAATTGATGTCAACCCGTCATTATTGGGAAATTTTAATATGTCGTTCGCCTTACATGAGGGATCAGATGAAGGAGGGCGTCTCCCGACAAGGTCCCCACAGCAAGGGCCACAAGGAAGGACATGATCCTCTTGTAAATCGAATGACGCATCAAAGGAATGACAGCGATCGCAAGAAGTGACGTCAAACTGATGACAGTGATAGATAGGAAACCATAACCCCACACTGAAACAAAAAAGGTTTTGGTTAATGAAGGCATTAGCGTTCCGAGGCAAATTAGGAGAAGGGAGGGTAAGTGGGGAATTATAACAATGCACGAGGTGAACAAAATGGATCAAAAATTTTGGATACGATTCTCTGAAATGATTTCTTCTGATTGTGGCTGAGACTAAAAAGAGTAAGATTATGTTTCCTGCTTTAACCTGTGTTACCACTAATCATTCTCAAAAATCCTTGTTCTGTCCTGCTCTTTTATCACCATTGCTGTGTTTTGGTACAACATCTTGCCATTTTATTGGTGTATTAGTGAAGCTTAAGGCGACAAAGCGGGTGGTTTTGCGCGCTTACAAAATCAGTTTAATTATCTTATGGCACACCTCCTTAAGTCTTGGCCCTGCGTAAAGATATCATTGTAGAGCAGACACACAAACCAGTATCAACAACGTAGTTTAAGTGTTCATGCCTGATCAAGTATTAAAATAATAACATTTATTTACTTCTTTTCTTGTTGTTGTTGTTGTTTTTTCTTTTTTTTTTTGGTGTGAGACACTACAAAATGCTTAAAGCTGCAAGTATTGCCAGCTCTTAAAAAAAAAAAGGAACTAGCTTTATAATCTTTTATCTTAACCCTGACTAAGACGAATAAAATCCCCTATAATTCAACAATTCCCTTACAGTTTTTATTTAGTACAGTAAGCACTTCACGAGACCAACGCACCTTTCATAGCAATTCGTAAATATAACACATATTAAATCCTTCATTCCTCGAAAAAATTTTATTCCTTATGAAATGTGTTAAGTAAAAATTTTAGCACCATGCTGTTATGTTTAATCTCAAGAAATGTAGCATTATCAATTTTTCGCAGGGAAATGCTTTGGTAAAATGTCTTTTTTGATATCTTTCTCAGTTTTCGCATCAATTTTCTTGTCAAGTAATATTGATTTCACGTTTTCATTTAAGTGCCAATGTAAGGTCTTTTTCAACTCTAATTATCAAATCTTACCATGCAGCATTTTGGCCGAGTCCTCTGCCATGTGATTGTCTTCCAGATTGTCGACAATGCAAGCTTTGTCTTGGAGTTGCTGGATTAATGCGGGACAAATCCGCACAAAGTCCTCTTCGTTCAATCCTTCCTCTTCATTCACATCATGATCGAGCAGAAGCTCCTGTCCTGTCAAACACTGAAATACATATGCAAATGTAAAGCTCTTGGGACATGCCTTTAAATACTCCGTGCATGTTAATTACAGGGATATGGAGGCATGAAATTTTTATACCATTTCTTTCATTAATTCTAAATGCATGTGCCAGCGGCAATTCGAACTGGACATCAGCCACTTCGCACGCAAAATACTGAACTACGATATCTAATTTCTTGAAGTGACAAACAACACTATTTAAAATGAACAACGACTTTTTTTTTCCACGTGAGGAATAACAAGCCATGTACTTAGACTCTACTAATGTCCGTGAATGGAGTTAAAGAACACACACGTGGCGAAAAAGGTTTGGCAAAATCTCAAATAATATTTCAATTTATTTTTTTCTAAGAGGACACCGCAACGAATCCTGCAATCTAATTGGTTCTTAGCGCGGTCCGTAGTTTCCTATCTTTGCCGATACGTCGATGGTATCACCGAGTACATCCTTACCTTCGCAGCTATCATACTTTTCATAAACAGGTCTCGTTTTTCAGGCTGGGTAGTTTCTATAAGCAGAGACGTCGGTCACTACCTTATAACTTATTAATCCTCTCTTTTCTCTCTCTCAAATCACCGTGGTTGACAAAAGAAAATTGGTTTCGAAATGAATTTGTATTAGCAACTTATACAACATGAAAGTGTCATTAAATTGGTTGACAAGCGGCCTAAAATCCGTCTGTAATTAATTTTAATCCTTCACGAAAAATTCCTAGAAAGTTAAAATGTGATATATTTGGTTACAATGAATTAATCGATGGAAATTTCATTCATTTACTCTCTGAATTCTCTTAAAAAATTTGTTCGTAGTGACAGGGCAAGCAAGGTTTTCAATTCTACCATAAATACGCTTTCAGTGAGTCTTTCCAAGTCCGTTCAATTGGGACATTTGTACCGTAAATTGCACAACAGAAACTAGGGGATTCAATAACAAAAAGCGGCAATAAATCCCCTTGTGTCTAGTTGAAGTGTCTCATTTGAATTTAGTTTTTGTTGGGGAAAGACCACGTTTGCACACGCCACTGCAGCAAACCAACGAGCAAACTCTCTTCAAAATGAAAAATTTGAATTTACTTACAATTTCTTTCTTTGCCATTTCCTTACTGAACAGAGGTAAATCTTCGTGCATTGATTAATCGTCGATGAGAGTAAATGATGCTTTCCGTAAGATCATTGACTGTTTTCGAAGAAAACATTGTCGTGACAGTCCTTGCCAAGCTAGTTCCGTTGATTTTTCAACAGTGTACATGCGCTTTTTTTTTTCCTTACGCATCAAATCGACAGGTGTCAGATTGAGAGAGATACTTGTATATATAATGTTTCAAAGTTTGTTTGGAAGCCTTTTAAATTACCTTCATCATTATACAAATGAAAATGTTTCGGTGAAGCATCTCCCTTAAATCTGCATCACCTCTATTTTAACTACCATTTACTCGCTCAAAAATTTTTCAGTTAATGGAAGATCTTGCCGTAATTACAACCCTAAATCGTTCAAGTTCTCTTGGAAAGAATTTCGTTAAGTTTAAGGAAAAAAGTAAAAATGCTATCCACTAGCCTAGGTCGGTCCGTATTGGAAAAAACCTGCCCTCTGTCTTGAGTACAGTTTTCCCCAATACGGACCTCCCAGTTGGCGAAAAACATATATCTACTCTTTAAAAGTAAATTAATTCATTTAAACTGTAAGTCGAGTTGGTGGTTGAAAAAATCTGGAAATCGAAGTAAAACCTTCCGACGAATTCACTTTACAAACAGGCTATTTTTAATGCACAGTGGTCTGATGGATAAGGGCTCAAAATATGGGAAAATTTAACAACTAAACGACTTGAATATACATGTATAACGCAAAATCATGTACCCATTTCCATAAAGCGTATAAGGCACTCGACCAATATTAAGTTATTAAGCTAGGCATACTAAAAACGCATAGACTAAGGCATCGAGGAGGATTTCATTATAAAGCTCTTTTGATTCAGCCAGTGTGTAAGAAGATATGGGCACAAACTTCCCTAGAAACACATAATCAAAGTTACCTCGCGATTTCACTTCTTCAATTTGTTCTCGGCTTGAAAAACGTTTTCAAGACCAGCAACTTTGTGGTAACAATGGCCATCAAATGAACACAAAAAAATACACTGATATATAACGTTGTCATAAAAATTCACAAAACTTGTCAGCTGTATAAAATATTGCAATACATAATTGATTATTCCACGTCAGAAACTGCTCCACGAGTTTGTTTTCCTTTTTGTCTAATGAGCTATTTGTATTAATGGAGGAGGCTTTAATTGAAGCAGCAGTAGTTAACAACAATTTTTTTAAAATTAATTTCATATTTGTTTTGGTAGTTTTTTTTTTTTTTTCGGTTTCCTAAGTTTCATTCCAAGTGTTCCGAAATGTTCCGTTCCACTGGACCCATTGTAAATGTATCGCGGACGCAAGCCGTAAAAAACGCATACAGCGTGGGCTGGTTGTTTACGCAAAGTTCGGAAGTCGTTTAACAAAACCGCGTTCTAATCCATCTTTGACTAAGCGGAACCTTTTATCTGAACGTTTATTTTTACGAAAAGATTCAGGAGAGCCGAAAGCTTATAGTAGAAGGTCATTTATTAAATGAAATCAACCCCATTAAAGAACATCTCTGAGGTTCACTGCTTGCGTAGAGCCGCGGTTTGGGTTAGACCACGTGTAAGAAAACCGGGTTTGAGTTTTTGATACTCTTTAATGATTTCAATTACTTATCTTTCTCGACATTATTTGACTCTACCCTCGCTTTCCCCATAACTATGGAAGAATTAGCATGAGTTTATTTTTAGCGCACGATGACATCTACTTCCATTTTCCTGGTGGAATCTTTAATTACCTTCCAACAAACCTACGACAGCAGTTATCATCAAAAGGAAGGCGAATAGCGCAAAAGAGAAGAGCGCCTAACTAACTCACCTAAATTCTCTCCAGTCGTCGACAGTTCTAAACCTGTTTAGTATAAATGTAAGATTTTTCGTTTGTCAAATCAATTATTTACATCAGTGTTGCAACATTGCGTGCTGGCCGAAAGTCCACACTTGTAACGGCCAAATGAACTTTCCAAGTTCGTTGCTTACAGATCCTTGGCTTTTATCTCAGAAGCTGAATAATTTGAAGACCAAATCAGTTTTTAATCTATCCCAAAGGAACAACCATAGCAGTTATGTGCCTCACAGTTGTCAAGGTCTATCTGAGTAAAGTGACACTGACTGAAAATATTGTGCAAAGAGCGTTCGCAGGAAAAAAAAATAAAAAGATTTAAGCATCAAGAGCCCGCTGAAAGAGTCTCAACATCACAATCGCGATAGAATAAAGGCCACACGCAAACACTCACCCACTAGAATTACTTAAGTTTGCCTAAACGTGACATTCGCTTTGGCTGATCAAATAATTTTTCTTGAGTCGACTCCAAATCTTACCCACACTGCAGTCAAGGTCGTATTTAATTAAGTTTATTAATATAATTCCAGAACACGAACTCTGGTCGATAAAAAAGTCTAGCTCAGCGCATTAAAAGCTTAAGGAAAATATCCTTATTCAAAGATTAAAATCTAGCAGACATTCTTAACTCAAAAGAGATTTACCAACCCAGGTGCAGATCACGAAACATTGAAAAGTGGCACAAACGCGAAATCTCCCGGACGGCCAAAGGCAGACAGACATATAAAAAATAAAGACAGACAGACATACAAAATAAAGACGAACCCTTCCATGGAACACACAAACGAAAACCATTTAACAGAAAGAGATTTACACTACCTGTAAAAATAAAAAAGAATATTATTCTCGAAAGACTGGTACTAAGGCTAGAGGCTGCAAAAACACAGCAAGGAAGCTAAAGATCATTTTGGCTAGGCATAGCATTACATAATTTACCTTTATCTCTTCTTATCGCATTTTTTCTAGAAGTGCTGACAGACCCAGACATCAACACGTTAGGGCTAATCTCTCTGTAGATCTTTTATTCAATTACAGCTTAAGTTCTCGTTACAGTTTCGAATCACGCCTTTTGGGGAATATCTCAACCAAAAGGTAACTTTTCATTTGGAGGAATTTTCTGTGGAAACCCTGCCTTGCCAATATGAAGAAGGATTCCAGTCGTTTGTCTAGACAAACCATAAAAGTCCTCAACGTCGCAGTAATGTGCAAATCTCGTGAACGAAAGGGTGGCATAGCAGGAGAAGGCCTACCGGGTCTTGTGAGGCGCTGACCGTATTTCAACCCCTAGTGAGTCGCTACTCACTTATCTATACAATGACTCATATCATCGGTGGCATTGCTACAATTTATCTCACAAGGAATATATCTAACCACGACAGCTCACAAGCCGAGCACACGGCAAATGATATACTTAACCCTTACATTAATTAACGCCTGATACCAGTTCGTTTGCACAAGTAGGTTTTTCGCGCGATCACATTTCTGAGGGGACTTCTAAGTTAATGGAAGCAACTACTTCTCGAATGCTATTCTATGTTCGATCTACCCGGTGGGGTGTTAGTCTGGTACAGTCAACAAACGCAGTCCACCTGTTTGTGATGCTTGTTTAGTTGTGCAATCAAAAGTTAGCCGAAAATTGCCAACAATGTCGTATATGAAAAACAATACTCTGCCTCAGACATAATTTGAATAAAGAAAAATAAGATCAAATTACTGACGTACAGAATTAGAGCTTGTCTTCAATATTCTACAGTTTTAGTAGTGTTGATTGCCGTATGCTGTTTGTTTGCGATTATATAAAGAAACAATACAGAACTGATTTTTGTTAATTGTATGATTAAAGTCATTTTCGTTCGCGGAAAGCAGAAAGTCATTTGAAGGAGCGGAGAAAAAATGTTTGCTAGTTTGATATTTCAGGTAGGAACTTCTCGGAAACACTTGGCATTTGTGTATTATTATAACCCTCTTAAGGAGACAGAGAGTGTTCCTTTATCTTTAGTACCCATTATTTGATGGTTCGTGCTACCACAAGCGGAGATTTCATCCTTCGATAATAGTACCTTGTGAAATCACGTTCAACATTTCACGATATTTAAAGCCGGTCTCCCCCGACGCAAGGTAAAATCACCTATAGCCTCCACTTGCTTTAAACTTTTGAAAGAGTTTGATGACCTCAGGCCGTGTTCAAATTATTAAACTAAGATTTGCGCTTCAAGAATCATGCATCTTTCCGCCAATCATAAATCTGTTACTTAGCTTAGGGAACACAATAATTTTATGTTGTATTACTGTATTTGTTAGCGTGGAAATATGTTAAGTGTGTTTATTTGAGCGCGAACATAAGTAAAGCCAGTTGACCCAACGTGAAACTAGTCTTTAAAAGAATTATTCTGGTTGGGAATTACAACTACATTCAAATCGTCTCCTTTTAAAAATGCAAATCATCAAATGTAGGAGAAAAGGAGGATTAGTTCAGATCTAAAAGAGTCTAGGTTTCTAAGTTGTCTGAGTTCATTACTATGAAATTCTACTCCGAGCTTTTCGTCAAACTTCACCTTTAAGCGGTTTATCCTAAAGAAACTTAAGTTTTTTAATTAAAAATAGGGGGTTCCCAAACTCGTTCAAGAGCAGTATCTTGTACATATTTTCAGTTTTCCTTTATATTTCCAAGTATAATTCATAGTGCGTACTGAGAGTTGTTCAGTAGAAGTTGCCGCAGAAATGTGTCAGTGTATGAAGAAGGCAGGTGTTGGGGAACTTAAGAGGACCATACGTGTACGACAGCTTCAGAGGGCAGAGGAAAGAAGGCACAGCCTAGCCGGTAACGAAAGCGAACGAGCCGGCAGCGAAAGTGATTTCCAATCACATCTCCTGCGTTCCCTCGTGACCTCTATTCACCTCTCTCTCCATAAGTCTAAGTCCCAGAGAACGAAAAAGTTTACATAGCCACACAGTTCAGCCCAGTCAAGAAAACAAAAATAAAAAGGCCTTTCACCACCTTTAGCACGCAAAATTATTACAATAAATTATCAATTTTTATGCATATTTTTGTTGTATTTGGTGTGAAATTTGAGTTCAAATGCACGTCTTAATAAAACAAATCGACCAGTGATGTTATCCCCGAACATTGAGCTTTTTATTTACAAGATTACAGGCCATGCACTGTAAAGAATCTTCGCGCGTATTTCACCTGATTTCCTTTTGACAAACAATTAGCCCATATGTAAAAAATATGCTATTGTTACTCTAACACAACAAGAGAATAGGACGGGTAGTTTTTGAGTCCTCTAAACGCTTATGTCCAGACGATTAAATCCATAAATATGCAGTCTTGGTATTGTTGCATAATATTGTTTGTATGTCTACGCATAAAACATTAAATTTCTCTTAAACTAAAAACATTATTGCCGAGAGATTCCTCAGCTACTAAGAATCTAACTCCAAGCAGAAATAGATAGAAAAAAACCCCTTTTAATTAAAACATAATATCTCACCTCCGCGTGACCTTCACTGGTATGGAGACGGTCTCTCGCACTACGCCGTTCTCTTCGTTGAGACCTCGGGCGAATTTGGTTCGTCTTAGAATTTAACTGCAATTGTCTTCGTTCTCCATTGGATTGTCGCTCGCTTCGCCGCCTTCGCATGTTTCTTTGCCTCGAAACTTCACTGGATTCTCCATCTTGACTTCGAGAATTCTTGCCGCCATGTCGATGAGATGTTCCTTGATGTTGCTCATGCGATGTTTCTGTCGCCGATACGGTCTCACCAAGGTTTAAATCCTTCAACAAATCTTTAAAACGCTCAATGGAGATTTTCTCCGTCAAGTTGTCCGAGTATTTGTGGAATATCAGGTCTAAAAAATGCCAGCTCGCGCTGTTCAAAATAACCGTCCGGTTCAGGACAGCGTGCATGTCCGAAGAGGACGATATAAAGGTATCGTTTTTGTTGATAATTTGTCCAGCGTTTGTTGCCGTGCCCAGCATCGATAATGCCATAATAAAATAAAACAGTCTCCTAGTATGAAGGTTGCAAATGGCCATAACAATAAAGTCAGAAACGTATTTTAAGATGAGTACTTGTTTTGATTCTACAAGAATCGAATCGGAAATCGATAAACGTCCAAGGTACTTTGCACACTTCGGTGTTTACGGTTCAATGGCTACCGACAATCCAGCTGTTTATGCTAAGTTATCGTCAAGCTCGCTTTACACAAACGATTCTCAAAGCGTTCTGAGACTTAAAAGTCTTTCGTAACACATATCTTTTCCCGTTATTACGACCTTCCTCCCTGCTGTCGTCGATTTTCTCGGTAGTGACGTGAATTCCGTTAAGGGCCGGCCACAATGATAACACTGTGAAGCATCGTGTTGGGCCGTACCTCGAAGTGTGCCTTCTCAAGTTACGCAACGTGGTCAAGTTCACTGTTGTTATCCGTGACCTTGAAAAATCTTCTCTCAGCCCTCGCGTCCTGCTTCACCTTAATTGACACCTTTTATCCCGACAAAATTCCAAATTAAAGTTTGCTCAGCTTGTTTGAAGCACTTTTACCTTCATTCTGAAAGTAAAGATATTACACAACTTTAACTCGGGTTTAAACGCATCCAACAGGCCTAATCGTTAGAGAAATAAATAGAAACCTCTCCTTACGATTCGAATAATATATTACATGTATTTTCTTTGATGGCAGCCAAAGTCGGAAAATTCAAGGGAAAATAATACTCATAACTAAGAAACCGGCAAAGAAATCACATGTGTATGGACGCTAATGAAAAAGAAATATCGAAAACAACCTGTTGCCACAATTTCTTTTGCTGTTCATCCGCACGAAAGAAAGGCAAAGCGACGCGAAGTTCGATCAAAATCTTGAGTAACGTTTTGGTCACGTAGCTAAGAGAATGCTCTCGAGGTTATGAATTACTTTAACGGCGGAAATAAGTTCACCCAAACAAACAATTTCTTATGTAAATTTTTAAAATCTCCATCGAAATCATCCTGAACTAATCTGTTGGATAAACATTTATGGTACCTGCTACAACTACACGCCACTTAAAGCTTATTTGAATAAAATTCATTGTAATATATATTTCATTTTTTCAGAATCATGCCATTCATGTAAAGGATACTTATAGTAAATAGAAAATTGGAGAAATTTCTCAACGGCCATTCGCTTCGTGTCGGGCCGGTGATAAGTTTTGGCGCATAACAATTAAATTAGCTGACGACAAAGCCTAAAGAAATAAAATGTACGTTACTGCTGGCCATGGTCACCCGACAACCCACGTAAATAATCACAAAAATTGCTCTATAAGCAATAAAAAAGCGATAAGGCTGGTGTGCGCTTAGTATTACTAGTCAACAAAGAAGTAATGAGTCACTTGAGGTTATCTCAGAGGGCATTTTTTCTTACACGATTAGGGAATAATTGGGTAAGCCAAAGAATTATTTGCAAAATGATATTTATAGAACACGCTGTTAAACGGGAAATGAAAACAAAGAAACTGTCACCGTCTTCCTTTCTGCTGTTTCTACAATAAATTTACACTCAATAGAAATGACTTTGTTTTATCTCATTGATGGATTGATGTAAAGAGTAGAAGAAAGGTGAGCGAAAAAAGAATCACTTTCGCCATTTGATCACTGCAGTATTTTCGTCAGAGTACCGTCGCGGCGTAAGTTAGGGTAAAAAATTATGTTGAACTTTCCCTATTTAAGAAAAAAACCTTTCCTCTCATTTTTCTATCGGTCGAATAACCTCGTTTTCTTAAAGAATGATAGGCCAGCTATTTCTTCTTGAGGTTTGTTAGTGTAAAGTTTGGCATGGCCGGTGAGAGACGCGCTGGAAGGTAAAAAACGCGGTGCTCCGCTTGGCTATGATAGACGCTATGTATTCGAAATGTACATTTTGCTGCAATGGACATTTCAAATGTTCAAATTGACACTTAGATGGAGTGGACACTACCCTTAAAGAAACCCTTTGTTGAATTGACACTTGGCTGAAATAGACAGTTTGCAAAAATGGACACTTCTTCCAGTTCGACTGGTAAACACACTGGCGAGGGACATTTTGCTAACGTGACTCTTAACTGAAACCAAGAATTTAATGAAACATACACTTTGTAAACATGGACACTTTTCTAGATGATCACTGGACGGACACTTTGCTAAAAAAGAAGTCGAACCCTTGGTTTTTACATCTGCATTCATATTTATACCACCAAGAGATTATGATCTATTGTGCCACGAATGTCTCTTCGGTTGACGTGGACTTGCCAATTCCCGAAGTTTCCCTTTTCGAGAGAACAGAATCGAGAGGTGAGTCAGTGAAATACTATTGCTTGGCTGACGCGCAGAAATTTATTTTCACACGACATTTCGACCGGCTATGCCAGATTTTTTTCAGGTCTAGATGTTGGTCATCTATCAAATAAGTAAATTAAATTAGAATTTCTTGTCACGGCGGATATCACAACACATATTTCGAAACTGTTAAGAGCGGCGGAAATGACGAATACACGTCAATACCAAGATATAAAAAAGGATAAATAACTGATACGTTCTGATTTAAGTCAATTTGGTAAAAGTTAAATCAGCGAGGGAAAGTTTCAATTTATCACGTCTACCTAATCACGGGGTTCAAAGGTCCCCGCTAAATAGATTACAAATTACTTTCTGGTTTTCCTGATGTAATGTAAAGGCAGATTAACCCCTTCTCTCCCAGAAGTTCATTGTTCTCCTCACTACCTGCCAAAAAATTATTTTGTCGGTTTGTATGGAGGATCTCGTATTGGATCAACTAAAAATTCCCTAATTCATGATAATTTTCTTAATTCTCATCATTCGTCTTCTTGATATTGTATTGATATTGTAAGGAGAAATTCAGTCTTCGTCACTCGTGGGAGTAAGAGGGAGTGGAACAAAATGAACGTTTGGAGTGGCAGTAATTTTGTCGACTGAGTTTCTATTTTTGTTGAACCTGTTTTTGAAAAAAAATGTGTAGTTTCTTCTGTTCACCCCAAATGGCAGAAGTTACCAGAGTATAATTTGCTTCTAGGTCCTAACGAAGGCACATTAAGTTTAAAGTTAAAAGTAAAAATCTTTAACCAAGCGATTGTAGAAGCTTCTCCAAAATGGCAACCTCCTTGAAAAGAACTACTTGAAAAAGTATTCCGGATTGGAATAAAGTACGTGTAGTGTAGACTGAAAGTTTCACGTCAATTCAGCGTCCACAGATGGTATTGAAGTAGGTAGAGGCGTTCTTTTGCTTCAACCATCAAAGTTTATGAAATTCAAGGTCGTCAATATACGGGGTGTATGTTATATTGCTTGGATGAATTTGTCTAGTGGGTTAACATATTTCAACAGTAGTTTTCATTCTAAGCAGCCACCTTGTAGAGAAAGTCTGTTGGATGGAATAAAGAGTTTGTGAGGTTAGTGGTCACTACTCCACCTCACAAGGAGTACTCAAAAAGACCGTTTGCAAAGAGTTCCGTTTACGTGACTTTTGGGCGAAGGCGAAAACCACGAACACCAACAATACCACTTAAATGCTGACGTGGTCTGGTGTGCGAGGTTAGCGGATGTTCTTTCAGGCACAGGTCAAGTTTACGATTCAAACTGGAGTTTAACTACCAACTACACGCCCATAATAATCATATGATAATCATTATTCTCGTGTAAATTTAAGGTCTCTCTCTATTGAGATTTATTGAAACTTTGATCATGTATGGGTCCACTGTGGGAATTAATTGTTGTTGTAATGAATTGCTCAATTTTTGCATCTTTTAATGTATTATCATTTCTATTATTACTATGATCATTATTAATCATTATTATTATTATTTTAGTATCACTTATTAGCTGGTCACGGCTCTGTTATCAGAGAAGAGGGGACTGACATTCAGACTGAAACAGGACTTTTACTCATTTTAAGTTCTATGGGAAATGTGCCCTCTTAGCCTCACTTTTGAGTGATAATCATATTGTTTTTACCTTCATCGACGGGATTAGAGAGGGTAGATCCCAGCCGATAAGTAGAGTAGCACTGCCTTTCATAAAAGAGGTTTGCATGTCAGTAAATGTTGTGAGCTGGGAAAAAAAATACCAGAACTATTTTCTTTACGTATCCGCGCTCGGTCTTGTGGCTTTTCCTTGAAAGTGTAACAATGAAAATCAATAGTTCAGTGAAATTACGTATAGTGCTGTGTTAAGTTTTGCAGAGAAGAGCACGACGTCTTTGACGGAGATTCGACATTTCTTTTCTCCCTTCTGTAAACATTTTGTAGCAATTTTTGTTTCTTTCTAACGGCTATCTCAGCGCGGATGGATTGTCCAGGTGTGCTTGTAATTAGCTTTTTCTTTGGTAAACCGAGGTATCTTGGGAGCAAATAATCTCGCAGCCACCCCTCTCATACACCACAAATACTTCAACGATCTTGAAGTTAGAGTATGTTTCGATGACAAGCTGACAAAATTATTTCCATAAGTGAGCAAATAAGTTACACAATTCGTAGCTGTAACCTTGTTAATACATAAGTTGACATTGGGAATGTTCTGCACTCTGATTGATACGTTCGATTTTGACAGCTTTTTTAAAATTTTATCTCCTCCTTAGTGTGCCCCTTGAGGGTATTTAAAAACCTTCACGTCAGAGGCATGTTCGCGTTGCTAAGTGATCTTACCTTTCGGTGATTCGGAAAAAATTATTGAAGTTGTCAATGTTATTTCAATCTGAATACATAGCAACAGGTTTTAATTTTTTCAACAGGTGGTGGGCGTCGTCTGAATGATGCTTTTGGATGTATATGTATAATAATCAATGGAAAATTGCAAATTGTACATTGTATACTAAATGAAAGAACACATATAAAAATATCTAAACATAAAAAAAAAATAAATAAAAAAAAAAGAAAAAAGAATCACCCTTTTACAAATCAGTAAAGTTTAGCTCCAATAACTTGTCTGTTAATGAAGTACCCCAAAAAATAACAACTTTTCGTTTCTAGTGGACTAATTTTTTGACGAGGGAAAAATTTACATTATTTATCGCGGCTGAGAAAAGAAAACTTTTTCATTTAATCAGTAAAAAAATGAAAATTGTGCAAACCGCTATAAAATAGCAGCAAAGAGATATTGCAAAACGTTAGCAACAAAATTGCCTGATAGTTTTAGTTCTGTCTTCTCAATTGGTGTAACTTGCATATGTTTACTTGTGTAGAATGATGCTTGCACTAAAATGGATAATCTTCTGCAAAAGTGTCACACGACTGACCTTGTAACGGTCTAAATGCAATTGCGATAATCATCCCCTTCAAATACTTAGAAACAAAACTAATAGCTACGGCATAAATCCTGACGAGTTTCGATAACAACCAGTGTCAGGGAAGTTCTAAGCAGGTTGAAAACCAAACATATTAACACGCCAATGCAAAACACAATCCCAGCTCGAAAGTTTCCCCTCAAAAGAAACTCTGCGGGCGGAAATCACGGCTTAAGGCTTTCAGATTCGAAGTTAGCAGCATCTTTAGATGTATAGAATCTATACAAACAAATAGGGCGTTATCTAGATCTTTAACATTCAATTTTGACCAGCGAAATACGAGCCTTTAAACAGTTCCATACCTTGAATAACTCGTCAGATTATTGATAACTAAATGTGCTTTAGAGTTCTATAACAATGGGTGTCATATAAACTTACCTTTCGGATGAAACGTTCCTAATATATCCTGATTGAAGGCTGACCGACTTAGCCACGAGAACGTTTCGAAATGGCTTAAAAGGGGAAGTGTTTGCAAATGTAAGTTCCTGTTATTGATTTTGGTGCCAACGCAACACCAATATACAGGCAAAACCACACAATGGCTTTGTTTTAATTTGCTAAATTGTCTTGACTAGCAGTTGAGTTGCAGCCAATTGTAATACGAGTGACTGGTTCATTG